GGGAAAAAAAGGTGGGAAAAAAAGGTGGGAAATCCAGGAATTGAGGTGGGTGAGGACTCAAAATTCCCAGTAATCCAACCAGACTAGGAAAAAAAGGGGGGAAAGAAAGGTGGGAAAAAAAGGTGGGAAAACGGGAATTGAGGCAGGGGAGGAAGCAGGGAAAGAGATCCCAATAATCCAACCAGAGTGGGAAAAAAAGATGGGAAAAAAAGACGGAAAAACCAGGGGGAAACCAGGGAAAAAGCCCCCAATAATCCAAATAGATTGGGAAAAAAAGAGGGGGAAAAACGGGAAAAACAGGAGTTCAGGGTGGGAAAAAAGGTGGGAAAGGCAGGAATTGAGGCCTCAAAATTCCCAATAATCCAACGAGATTGGGGAAAAAAAGGTGGGAAAAGCAGGAATTGAGGCAGGGGAGGAAGCAGGGGAAGAGATCCCAATAATCCAATGAGATTGGGGAAAAAAAGTGGGAAAAACAGTGGGAAAAACAGGAGTTCAGGCTGGGAAAAAACAGCAGGAAAAACAGGAGTTCAGGGTGGGAAAAAAAAGGTGGGAAAAAATGGGAAAAACAGGAATTCAGGGGGGGAAAAAAAGGGTGGGAAAAAATGGGAAAAACAGGAATTCAGGGGGGGAAAAAAAGGGTGGGAAAACCAGGAATTGAGGCCTGAAAATTCCCAATAATCCAACAAGACTAGGGAAAAAAAGGTGGGAAAAAAAGGTGGGAAAAGCAGGAATTGAGGCCTGAAAATTCCCAATAATCCAATAAAATTGGGGAAAAAAGTGGGGGAAAAAGTGGGAAAAAAAGGTGGGAAAGGCAGGAATTGAGGCGGGGAGGCCCCAAAATTCCCAGTAATCCCAAAGGATTGGGAAAGAAGCGGGAAAAGCAGGTGGGAAGTGGGGGTTGGGGGAGGTGAGGAGTGAAAGGGCGGGAAGAGCCGGACTCGTGCCGGGGACACTCCCGGCTCCTCCTCCTTAATTTGGGAATTAGGGAATGAGTTAATTGGGTAATGAGGGGTTGGGGGAGCCACAGAATCCCTGGAGGCTCCCGGAAAAAAAAGATGTGGAGAGACCTGGAGGACCTGGAAAAGCTGGAGGGAGAGCAGGGAGAGAACAGGACTCCAGGGAATGGCAGGAATTTGGGCCCGGGGTGAGGAAAAGTGGGAATTCTGGAGGGATTGGGGG